GCACATGGAACTAGAACAGTCTACCCAGTGAGCGAAATAAAGGGTTTAGTTCAACGCTTCCAACCACCTGAAGAAGACTGGAAACATTGTAATAAATATGGCAACATAAATGAGGACAATAGTCTGAATAATGTAAATAGTGTACTATCTCTTCTGTATGTAGTTATTCTTAAAACTAGTGAAGTTTTTTTTGCTGAACAATTTAGAAGCTACTAAGTGTATAGTGGAAAATATCTGTCTATTATATAAACACATGCAGTCTCACACTTCCTTTGCTTCTACCACTTATTTCTAAAATAACAGTTTTGAAAACTGTGATATATTCATCGACTTTAAATACACTATTTTCTTGAGATTGCGTTATCTTGTAAATTACTTCAACAGGAGGCATAATCTGATGTATAATTAAAAAAAGAAAAAAAAACAAAAGCTATAACCAAAACATGACATTATCATCATTCAGGTATTGCAAAATTCCTCTTGCTTCTACAATGGTTTGATCTGCATTTATTGTTGACAGAATTTCAATACAGCAGTTTTTTAAAGGTTGCAAATTTTCATGAACTCTGTTCACAGTCCATATGTTAAAATTCCACCTTGTAGAGGATGGACGGGGAATACTAACATCCATATGCTTCTTGAGAATGGATACACGTTGTGGTGATTATGAGAAGAAGTTTGTAATAGCCAAAATGTTAGAGAAAAATATTCTTGTGTTCCATGTAATACTTGTTGCATTTGTCATTATGCGCTATCAAATATCTGAGCTATTGGTTTTTGTCCATTTCCTTGAAGGATTATATCTAATTGTTCTAGAATACGTTTTGATATGCCATCTTCAGTTTGATTATTTGATATAAAGAATCCACTAAAATGCTAAAATATTTCTTCATTCAACATGTACTGTAGAACAATGACCATTTGAGTGTATTCTGAAACATCTGTTGTATCATCAGCCATGACAGCTACAAACGAAGCTTCCTTAATTTCTGTCCTTATCTCCTCATGGTATATTTGTAGCAGGTAGTCAAGTATCTCATTCTGAATGGTCTTAGAATCACTTTTGGAAACCTTACTGGTTTCTAAGTAATTCTTCAAATCTGGATCTAATTTAAATACAAAATTTATTAATCCTTTAAATGACCCCGGATTTACTACTGAATCATTTTCATCATATCAACATGAGGGAATTTCAAAGTTTCCACAAAATAAAATACAGTCTATTATTTTGGATAAAATTTCATGATTCTTTTTAGTCTTTATGTTATGCTCATTGATTGAAAGTCTGTATGTATGCCTCACTAAGTTTCTCCTTAATATTTACGTTTTCTAAAAGTGACCGTGAAACCACATTTTCAATATGCTTCTTTGACTTCTCATGTTTTCCAGTTTTTTTCTTTCATTTTGTTTATATTTCTAAAACTGTCTTTTGTCCATGTTACATCACCTCCAAACAGCAAACACGTGAAGCAAAAGAATGCATTTTTCACTTTACAGCTGCAGAACCAACTTTTCCATTAGTACCATTCAGAATTAAAGCTAAGAATACACCTATTGTGGTTTATTTTTTGGGGATTTTTTTCTTCCGACGGATTGGGAGTGCGGGGAACTCAGACAGCTAGCCAACTCAGAAGCGTTGTACCCAAAACTCGATGTGAAAGGAGAAAAAGAGATAAACCTCTTGCCTGTTGTTGTAGCAATTCACAGCATCCCTGGGTAATAATAGTTTGGGATTGCAATGAATTGTCTCATTGCTTACAAGCAACCCTTTTCCTTGTAATTGTAACAGAATCATAACAGTATAACGTAGTAACAGACTTAACAAAAAAATAACAAAAACTATCTGGAGAGTGAAAGAGATTTTCTTTATAGCTTTCCAGATGGTCTCATTTAAATGTATTGTAGTCTCATCCTTGACTGACCGCCACACAACCGTTTGAATTTCATTGCTTCTCCCCTCTATATCAGTTTCTTGGTAAGTACAAGTTACAACATTATTCATGGCTGAGATATTTGAATATCAGGTGTTGAACAGCCTCTTTTGTAACTTTCTCATGGAGAGGCAACTGTGAAAACGTAAGCTGTTGAAGTTCACTGTCACACTGGCGAAAATAAGTTTAAGACCGATGATTAAAGTTTTATTCATTTCAGAGTATGTTTGTAATAAAACAATATAAATTAGTTTTATTGTGAAAGCTTTGTGCAGAAATTATTTCTCTTTCAAATGATGTAAAAATTTTATATTTTTCTACAACTTGAAAACTTTTAATGCTGGATTAATTTAAATTATTCAAATTTGCTGTCAAAATAAGACTGCATAGGTATTATGCAAATTACTTGGTACATATGTGGTCACATGGTTGGTCATTAATGCATTATATAGTGTAATAACTGAGCATTGTTATACAATTAATTCGCTACAGGAAAGTGTAGTAATCTTAACCCAGTGACTAGATCAAAAATAGTGTTACTTCATCAACAAGATGTTTCCTTTATGAACATAAGCAAACAAAGTGCATCAAAATGGCTTGTGTTGAGGCTTGGAAGTTTTACCAGGATACTGGACAATATAAGGATAGGCAAAGATAGGCGAAAAACAACAGTGCAACTGGATAGACGAATTCATAAGCTTTCCAAAGCTAACTGAATGCTGATGGCTGTGGTGACGTTAATTTTACACCGCAAACTGTCCGAAACCATCTAAGAGAATTTGAATTATTCGGACACATTGCTAGAAAAAAGCCAATTATTTCGGAGAGGAATTGACTCGAGCAGCTGAGTTTTGCGAAAAGTCACATTTTATGGACGGCCGACAACTGGTGTAGAGTTCTTGTGAGTGATGAGTCACGCTTTTGCATCTTTGGATCGAATGGAAAAAACTTTGTCAGACGTAGCCTAACCGAGGAATTCCACCCTAAATGAGTCAAAAAGATAGGTGCATGCGAGAGGCGGGGGTGTAATGGTGTGGGGTGCATTCAGTAGCTTTGGTATTAGTCCAATTGTTAAAATTGATGGAAAACTCAACAGAGTAGGCTATATGCAGCTAGTTAAGGAATATGTTTTGCCATATTTGATTGACCAAATTCCACCTGGAGCTATTTATCAAGATAATAGCCCCATTCACAAAGCCAAAAAAGTAATACAAATTTTTGATCACCATAATATGGATGTCATTGAGTGGCCTCCCCACAGAGTCTGGTTCTTAATCCGATTAAATATTTATGGGATTATATTTCTAAAACAGTTCACGCTAAAAAAAAAAAAAATTTAGCCCAATTATACGATTATATTAAGCAAATATGGCAGAGCATTCCAAATGATTTTTGTGCTCACTTATCAAGCTTGATGGCTAGGCGATGTGAAGATGTAATTAATAATAAAAGTGACGGCATTAAATATTGATAAGTGTTTTGGGGTTTTTTTTGCTCATTTTTACTATAACTTTTTGCTTTAAATATAGCCATGCAGCAATTTAAATTAATCCAGCATTAATATTCAAGTTGTAGAAAAATATACAATTTTTACATCATTCAAAAGAGAAATAAATTCTGCATAAAGCATATGCAATAAAACTAATTTATATTCTTTTATTAGAAATATATTCTGAAATGAATAAAACTTTAGGCATCGGTCTTAAACTTATTTTCACCAGTGTATTTCTTTGGGATTCAAGGAGGTCATTGTTAAATTATTCAAATTTTCTATACAATATAAAACAACCGAAAAAAAACAATGAATTAAATAGAATAGCTGGAAGTATGATAGTTATCTACAGTTTATCACATTCAAGAATATGGTACATGTTTTTTGAGCACAACACAGACTGAGTCAAAAATAAACACTACCTAACATTTGGACAACAGGGTTACGACTGCATGAATAACAGTGCTTCTCTCTAACAAGTGTTCAGTTTCCTTTCTTGGACATGTCCACATGCACACAACAGTCAAACACTGCATTACTGAAGCTGTGAAGCACACAGTTCCATACAAAGATTTTTAAAAAACTTTTCATGAATGAGGGAATGGCTACTGAAATACAAAGACAGAATTAAAGAAAAAGTAATTATATTGAATGTTATCAATAAAATTGAATAAAAATAGGTAGTGCTACAGTTCCACTACATGTGGCCACTGCTAAATATACTACCTTGGACTGTGGATGTGCCTGAAATAGATCTAGAACTCAGAAAACATACACTTGTGTTCCAGGAGGAGTTGGAAAAGATCAGGAACAATTGTCCCAGACAGTTGTGCATATATCGCAGATGGATTGAAGTCCAAGTGTGAAATGGGATGTGCAGGTAGGTATAGCAGGAAGGTGAAAGGGAAGTATATGCCTGAAGAGGCTTCAGTTTTCAATACAGAGAACCTGGCACTCAGCTTAGAGATGAAGCCAAGTGCACTTCTGCTTCTAGCAGAGGGATGTGTAATATTCTCTGGCTCCCTATCAATTGTAGCAGCAATGTGGGAAAAACAGCCCACTTGTTGTGGAATTGCTATGTGAGATGGGTACATTATCCAAACGTGAAAAAGGAAAACAAAAAGAAAAGAAAAAATGCATAAAAAAATTAAAAGAAAATATGAAAAGCAAGGGTAAAATACGTAAAAAAGGATAAAAGAAAACAAAAAAGAGAAAAGACAAAATATGAACAAAAGGTTAAGAGCAAAAATGCACGAAAAAGAGAAATGGCAAAAATGCAAAGAAGTAGAAAAGACAAAATGTGCCAAAGGTAGAAAAGATAAAAGTAAAATGAGTAAGATATGAAATAGGCAAAAAATGTGTAAAAAAAATTAGCAAAGAAAAATATGCAAAAAAAGAGAGAAGATAAAATACATAAAAAAAGTGAAAAGACAAAATATGAAATAAAAGAGAAAAAACAAAATGTGAAAAAAGGAAAAACGACAAAATGTACAAAAATCAGAAGTAAAAAAAGAAGAGGTAAAAATGTCATAAAAAAAATGGGCAAAACAAGGAGAATACAAAATAGGAAAAAAAAACTAAAAAGGAAAGATAAAGAGAATATACCAAATAATCAAAGAAGAAAAAATTAATAAAGCAAAAAATGAAAGGGAGAAATACAAAATGGATGGAAAAGGAGAAACAGCAAAAGGGGCAAAAATGAGAAAAGGCAAAGTGAAGAAAAAAAGGTGAAAAGGCAAAATGTGCAAAAAGGAGAAAAGACAAACTGAGCAAAAAAAGGAAAAAATAGGTAAAAGGAGATAATGCAAAATAGGCGAAAAGATAAATGCTAACAAGGAGAAAATACAAAATAGGAAAAAAGGAGGGAATATGTAATGGGTAAAAAAAATAATTTACAATAGGTAAACAGAAATCAAAAGTATTGATGATTATTTCTTGGAACTACACATGCTGAGTATAAACCACGAACTTTACACTTTACTGCCATTGGAGACATGAGGAATTACTTTGAGATGGTTTTATTAACGGACTTTCATCCAACACAATTTGACAACTTTTACGAGGATTTTGGGAGCTAACTCTGACCCAGGATTGTGATAGTTTCAGAGCACATGAAGAGGCCCAAAATGATTTAGAACAGTATATCAGGGCAGCAATTAAGGTAAATGCTGCTATGTCTACCAAAAATAACATTTTGTCATCCTAATTGTTTTTGCAAGTGATCTCTGCTTCAATTAATGTTGCTATGGTAAAGAAACAATACTATTTGTGGTGCTAACTTGTACTACTGTTTTAAATGGCCCAGCTTGAATACATTTCCTGTTGAAAAATTGGACAGTGTGCCGGTCTAAACAAAAACAGAAAGTGTAATATCCTTAAAGATAACAAAAAAATCTTGGCTCTCAACAACTTTATTGCAAAGTACAGCAAGACTGTGAAAAACTCCTTTTTTTTTTAACCACTTCACTAAGTGGAGCATAAGCAGAATAGTTTTCTCATTGAAACTCATTTACTTATTTCTTAAAATCATGAGCAAAAATTAATTATTGCTCATTTTTTCTTGATAAAAGTCTAATAAAGTAGAAGTCTACAAATAAGCACAATCCTTTTAATTTCTTTATATAAAATCAATTTTCCATTTACATATGACAAATCATCTTTCCTCAAATGTCTGCTAGTATATAATTATTATTCGATATTTCAGTGGCAACGACTAACAAGGAGTGCCTATTCAATTACCTCAAATAACATCCAACTTCTTTACTCAGAAAATGAATTCTTCCTTTGAAAAGGCTATATGACAACCAATGAGATAAGTGAACTTGTCATGGTCATCTTCAATGTCAGGAGGTACATTAATGAATTTCATAAGAAAATATATATGGTAAATGCACTGAACTGATCACTTATTATTCTCTTTATATGCGTTCAACATTATGATCAAAAAATAGGAAAATAAAATTTTACACCAGCTTTTTTTAAAATTCATTCACTTCTTCATCAAAATCAAGGTATCGGACTTTCATTTTCAATAGAAGCAATTGCTAATCTGAATAACCTGTCATCTCATTGTAGATTGCAGATAATCTTAAAATTTTAGTTTGTTGAAACTAATTTTAGCATGTTCAACAGTTGCAATGCAGCTCCCAATTTCAGGTAAATGTCAACTCGGTGATTCTGAAAAAATTAATCTAAAATGTCAGACATTCTTTAAGTTTTTTTTTTTTCTGTTCTTAATCTCTGATTATCTTCACAAAATTGAGGCAAATCTCATGATTTTGTGAGGCAGTTTTTCTAGTTCACTCATTTTTCATAAATTGGTTTGAACTGCTCATTCACATTCCCACTCTTTACTGTATTCAAAAGAGATTCTTAATTTTGAATAAAGCCATAAATTTAATTCCATGAGAAAACTGATTATTAATTGAAGAGAAACTCTGGTCAAGAAAAAAATAATCCTGGTAAAAATGTTCTTCAGGTGTTTGAGCTTCTATTAGGGAAAAAAAAAATTAAAATAAACCTTGCAACAGAAAACTGATGTGAAGAGTAATGCCAGGCATGGCACACATAACATAGGAGACACACTCAAGAATCATAAGTTTATTGAAAAAAAACCTGTTACAGCTTATCTTGGGCCTACACAATGTTAATGAATTGTATGCCAAAAATATGAAACTCTTGGCCAATAACAAGATATGAAATAAGGAAAAATGGTTACATTCATGTACATTGTAAGAAATTAAAAAAAAAATGTTCATTTCTATTGCAAATAACATAACATAAATCAAATCTATAAATTAACCTTGAGGGGCAAAAAAAATACTGTTTCAAAGAAAAACAATATTAACCAGTTGCAAGTAAAGTTTGTTATGAAAATGAGTAAATTCCCAAATACATGTAAATGAATGCATTAGTATTCAATATTCTTTATTTATATAAAAAGTTTAAACACCCAAAAAGTTCCAAAGATAGAAAATGGAATATAAGAAAAAAACAATACATCACTTTGAAAAGAGCTTTTCCATATCACACTTGTATTTGGATGAAGAGTTTCTTTAGTCTTGATATTTAGTAGCTGGATGCAGCTGTGAATTAGTTGTCTTGAGAATCACTGGTAACAATTCGGGTTTAAATTCAAAGTGTTCACTCTCCACGAATAGCCAGGAGTGACAATGTGCCCTGGAGGTAGAAATTTTTGACTCTGTCCTGTAAATTTTTCAATTTCTTAAGTAGGCATCACAGGGGTCTTATGATGACACCTTTAAAGAAAGTAATTAGTTGGTGGTGATTTTATTCCCAGATGGACTGGGTTTTAGTAGGCTGAGAGAGTTATGATGTCATTAACCTTCAAGCTGCCAGGATGAGTTACACAGGCATACCATCAAAAACATTAAAGGGGTCAAGCAACTGCTGACTAATAGCCTGAGAAAATCATGACATCAGCAAAATTTTTCAATTGAAGCTATGAGTCACCTCCAAGTTAAAAGTTAATACAATGAATAAAAAATTTTTTATACTTCATCACAAGAATCATGACCAAATAAACATTTTTTTGCAACAGGCTTGTAGTTCAAACCTTTCTTCAATAACATTTTCTTCTGCAATTCCACACACTTTTGACACAACAACAGCATAACTATGTTCATTAGTCTTAAAGGAAACTGCAAATTGCCTAACTCTGAACAATCACTAACATGAGAAAATTGTTCACTTAAAAAAAAAAAATCATACCAAATGATAATGCTAAGTACAAAGTCCCCAGTAGAAATTCAGTCCAGCAGGAATGGTAAGCTAGTCACTGATGTGCCATTTCTATTCTTATCTAGCATGTTAAGAACATTTTTAATGTTTTTAAGTTGATAGTATTATGATTTGACAAAGTTGATTTGTGATTACCATCTTGTATCACACTGTACTTTCACAAAAATAAGAATTATGAAATTTCCAATGAAAATAATGTATATAATTGATTAACTATCCTCAAGAATGGCAATGCCTATCTGATAAAACAAGATTCAAAGTATATGCATTACTTGGAACAAATAAAACTTTTTCATTCATCTCAAGTATTCTAGACTGAATACATTTATAATTGTCTACCAAAACGTTTTGATTAAAATCACTTTTAATAATTTAATCAATGAATGTTAGAAAGCATGTTATTAACAAACTTTTTGAAAAAACATTTTGAGTGTATAATGGGTGAGCCAATCTGTATTGGTTAAAAATACAAATAAAACTGACCTGCTACTATTTTTACTAAATCAAATGTCAAAAAGACAACAAGAACAAGAGAAATAATCAAGTAGAAGAATTTATTCAACAATAAATATTTTTATAAAACACAAATACAAAATATATGCTAAGTTTCACGTTTTTTTTTACTATTTCACATATATCTTATTTTTTTGTTATTTCACATTTTCTCCTTTTTTTTTTGCTATTTCACATATATCTTATTTTTTTGTTATTTCACATTTTCTCCTTTTTTTTTTGCTATTCCACATATATCTTATTTTTTTGTTATTTCACATTTTCTCCTTTTTTTTTGCTATTTCACATATATCTTATTTTTTTGTTATTTCACATTTTCTCCTTTTTTTGCTATTTCACATATATCTTATTTTTTGTTATTTCACATTTTCTCCTTTTTTTTTGCTATTTCACATATATCTTTTTTTGTTATTTCACATTTTCTCCTTTTTTTTTGCTATTTCACATATATCTTTTTTGTTATTTCACATTTTCTCCTTTTTTTTTGCTATTTCACATATATCTTATTTTTTTGTTATTTCACATTTTCTCCTTTTTTTTTGCTATTTCACATATATCTTATTTTTTGTTATTTCACATTTTCTCCTTTTTTTTTGCTATTTCACATATATCTTATTTTTTTGTTATTTCACATTTTCTCCTTTTTTTTTTTGCTATTTCACATATATCTTATTTTTTTGTTATTTCACATTCTCCTTTTTTTTTGTTATTTCACATTTTCTCCTTTTTTTTGCTATTTCACATATATCTTATTTTTTTGTTATTTCACATTTTCTCTTTTTTTTTTGCTATTTCACATATATCTTATTTTTTTGTTATTTCACATTTTCTCCTTTTTTTTTGCTATTTCACATATATCTTATTTTTTGTTATTTCACATTTTCTCCTTTTTTTTTGCTATATCACATATATCTTATTTTTTTGTTATTTCACATTTTCTCCTTTTTTTTTACTATTTCACATATATCTTATTTTTTTGTTATTTCACATTTTCTCCCTTTTTTTTGCTATATCACATTATCTGCTTTTTTCCTATTTTACAGAATCTACTTTTTACTATTTCATATTGTCTCTTTCTTTTACTATTTCACATTATCTCATTTACTTTTCCTTTTCATATCTCAATTTTTAGCTATTTCAAGTGATAATTTTTGTGCTAATTCACACTATTTTTTTTATATTTCACATTAATTACTTTTTTGATATTTCACATTATCTTTTCTTTTTTTTTTTGCTATTTCACATTATCTCCATTTTTCCTACTTAATGTAATCATTTTTTATATATTTTGCATTATATTTCGCTATTACACATAATTGTCTTTTTGTGCTGTTTCACATTGTTTTTTTTTCCCCCACTATTTTACATTTTTGCTATTTCACATTATCACATTTTACTGTTTCATATGATATCATTTTGCTGTTTCAAATTATCTTCTTTTTTGCCATTTCATATTAACTGATTTTTTGCTTTTTCAAATTATCTCATTAACACCTTTTTTTACTATTAACATTATCTCTGTTTTTTTTCCCCATTATGTACTTTTTTTTGTTGGCTATTTAACATTATACTGTTTTTGTTATTTCACATTATATCCTTTGTTGGCTATTTCTCATATTATCTTTTTTTTTTGCTATTTCACATGATCTTTTTTGTGCTGCTTCAAACTATTTCCTTTTTGTTATTTCAATTTATTTCCTTTATGTTAATTCATATCATTGCCTTTTTTTTCTATTTCACAATATCCCCTTTTTACTCTTATTTCCTTTTTGCTAATTCACATTATCTCTTTTTTTAACTATTTCATGTTATCTCCTTTTTTTATTATTTCACATGAATGTTCACAATTTCTCTCAAATATTCAGGCTGGAAGATGAAAATAAATAAATATACTGTTTAATAAATAAATGGAGAATCTACACAAATAGAAGTATCCACTAAAAATAACATTTAAGTTATGTAAATATCTATCTACATTCATACGTATAAAATTTATTCTTTATGCATGTTGTAAATCTTTTGCTTAAATATAGATTTTTAATGAAAATATTTTCAAACTCACAAACCACAGTTAAAATATAACATAGTGCATTAATTATAAGTACAATAATAAAAATAAATTATTTAAAAGCTTTTAAAAAACTTTATGCAGGAATTCAAATTAAGTCATATGACAAAAAATAGTAACTTAGTAACTTATTCTATAAAGAGCTCTAACAAATTAGTACATGTTGTAATTAGTAAGAAAAAAAAATAGTGGACTTTTTCATTCCACTATAAATATTTTCTTACAAAACAAAATTTTTTACCATTTTCTAAAAATTTGGTTTTGGCAAATGGAACTCAAAAGTATATGTGAGATGTCTCAAGAGTGGCTGTTAAAACTTTAAACATGGCAGAAATCAAATAGCTTGCTGTTTGCATAAGTCTTTTCTATATGAATATATAGATATATGTGTTTTATATGTCTGCAGGTATTCTGTATAAATTTGTCAGCGTTTATAAATATATTTTTGAATGATAAAAAAGCTTGTACAGAACTGCACATACAGATAGATACATGCACAAGTGTGTGTGTGATATGTCATAAATCAACATGATTCTGTTATTTTTTGTCCAATCATTTAATCAGCTAGTATGTTTTGCACAATTTTTTTCATGTCTTTTAAACAATCTCTTGGGTCATTTTCAGACAACGGGTTGCAATGGTATTGCTCTCGGATGCTGATTGCCTGACAAAAGAAAATCATTTTAAATCAGTAAATATAAGTCAATTATAGAAATTAATATTTGCATTTTTTCAGGTGCAGAAGCAATACAATTTCAATGAGATCCCCCACCAAAAAGATTTTTTCCCAAACGATAAATCTATAAATCAAATACCATGAGATGCATTTTTTATTTTTAAATATACCCCACTCCTCACCAAAAAACTGTCCTGTGCCTAATACAGCTGCATTATGGATAGGAGATGATCAAGTTAGGTCATTAGATGAGTCTGCTAGTCATAAAAACTGTTAGTAATAAAATATAGAAAACAAGCCAAATTATTACGCTAAAGACAGTTAAGACTAAGAGGGAAGATCACATCATCTCACTACCTCCTAATCTAACATACATAACCCACATGAAATATATGGTCTGTCATTAATGACTATTAACCTTTAAGAAACATGAGTTTATTACTGTACCTAGAATAAAAAAAATGCTCCTAAAAATGTGAAAGCAATGTTAACCAACTTCAGCCTCCTTTTGGACTACTGGTTTGCATATACTGTACTTATCTAGATATTTACTTGACCCCCCCCCCCCACTGAGACAGATTGTGACACAAGGTCAGTTTTTAACATGGGGACCTGAATGTTTTCACTCGGGCTGCTGGTCCAAACTGGTCATAGCTTGTCAGAGCTGGTCTAAGCTAGTCATAGCCGGTCGGCATGTCCAAGCTGGTCCAGGCCGGAACCGGTCCGAGCTAGTCATAGCCGTAATACCACCAGCCCAGGGGCGAGCCCTGTGCCAGGTAGGTATTTGATAGATCATAATTAAAAGTATGATATATCTATACTGTACTTATCTATAAGAATTCATTCACATATATTGCACTTAATTGATTATTTTATATCAGTTAACTTTTTTATAGGTATTATTGATACAAATATACTAGTATTTCTTTTCTGCTTTGGTAAATTTAATTTAGTTTCCTTTGAAGATTAAAGATACAATATATGGCGTCAATCATTATACCAGTTTACTGTTACAATATTGTGTTTGCAGGCACAGAATCATACATTTCCCCTATGTACATGACAGAGAAAAATAAAGTTCATGATGGTCAATAGAATCAAGATACCCACAAATTTTATGTTAAACTTACTTTTGAATGTATTTTAATTATATAAAACTAAAAATTTGCTCTAGGAAGATTTCTTTCAGGATAGAAAAAGTAGGTAAAAAGCAAAAAAGAAATAAAGCAATATATGAACAATTAAAAAAATTAAAGTTGATGTGAAACCAAACCTTTGGAATGAAATGCTCAATGAGTTCCTGCCTTTTAACATTGGATGGATGTGTGGATAGCCATTCTGGAGTTTCAGTTCCCTTCAGTTTTTCATGGAACTGCATCAATTTCCAAAAGTTGCTGCCTTCACGAACATCAAAACATGCCTGTATTGAAAGAATTAATTTGTAAAAAATCAAATGATTCCATCGCTACATAACAGTTCTCTTGTTTAAAAAAAACAAGCTAAAAACTTCAATTTAATTATAAATTAACTGAAGATTTTAGCTTCTGTTTTTGAAACATGAGAACTCTTATGTAGCAATTGAATCATATTTTTAAAAAAAATAATTATAATATAGGGTTTACTTCAGCAATGTTTTTTAAAAATATAAACAAAAATACTAAAGAACTTCGGATTATTAATCTGTTCTTTCCTATTTTTCTATATATTTGCACACGCACACATGTTTGTATATATATATATATATATGAAAAGTGTATATAAATATAAATAAATATATATATGTATGTATAATTATTTATATATTATATGTGCGGTACTTATTAGAAAGTGCTCAATATCAGAGATAGAGCTAACATATTTGGTTGGATAGATGTGAGTTTGTGTCCCTGGGTTTCACGCTTTTGCGATCGTCAGACAAATTATCTGACGATCGCTAAAGCATGAAACCCAGGGTCACAAACTCACATCTATCCAACTATATATATATATATATATATATATATATATATATATATATAAAAACATTTTTATGTTCATACATTCTTTTTATAGATACAAATATTTAAGTAAATGCTCTGTTTATAATAAACAGTATTAATAACATTTATCGGCCTGAATGTCAAAAAAATTTTCATAGAAAATATTTGTCCTCAGACAGGAATCTAACCTGTATCCTACACAGAATTGTCATATAACATGACGTGCCTTAAGCGATTGGGCCACAGAGGATTGTTTGGTTAGCAAGGTCGACTTTACTGCTTTTAAACTACAATCTTCCATGATTCTTTCACGTACATTCATATCGGCTCATGGCATATCCAAATGTAAACAAATGACCTCACACATTATGAAATGGACAAAGTCCAACAATTATTTTATGTTTATACATTCTTTTTATAGATACAAATATTTAAGTAAATGCTTTGTTTAAAATAAACAGTATTAATAACATTTACTGGCCTTACAAAATAAAATGGACAAAGTCCAACAATTATTTCAAGACATTTTTATGCTTATACATTTTTTTTATAAAAATGTCTTAAAATAATTGTGTGACGTCATGTATGTATGCATATATATATATATATATATATATATATATATATATATATATATATATATATATATAATATATGTGTGTATATATATATATATATATATATATGAATATATGTGTGTATATATATATATATATATATATATATATATATATATATGTGTATATATATATATATATATATATATATGAATATATGTGTGTATATATATATATATATATATATATATATATATAGCCTTACTGTTCAACGATTACATTCAAAACTGTTTCCTGAAAACCGTGTTCTTCATTTATATCAGTTACATCCTTGTGCATGCAAATCACCAACAGTTATAAAAGTCTTTGTCTCACGCATGCGTCATGATGGAATTACAAATGGCAACCGTGACCAAATGGATCAAACATTGGAGGCACTTAGCATTGGGTAAGTTTGGGCCACTTGGTCCCACTTCACTACAATTCCCCCATATCTCATGATCACAAAGAGTACAGCCGAGTGCAAGTCGCTTCTGATGTATACTTCTCCTAAGGGGGACAGCTGATTTATCTGCAAATGATTTGTCGTCATCAGTAGATTCTGGCATATTTCTAAGCAGGCAGCAAAATTCCCACTCTCATTTTGTCCATTATGTCTGCTTCTAACACTATCCATATATTTCTCCTTCACATTTCAGATCATTCAGATGTTTGTTGGATTTCAGTCTGTGTGCTGCCTTGGCTCACTTCAATTTCTGTAGTTTCAATCTAAGTTTGCATACCACTTGAAGGTGGTTACTCCCGCAGTCAGCACTTAGATATGTTTTGCAGTGTAAAACTGCATTCCTGAATTTTTTATTGATAGTTATATAGTTGATTTAGTTTTTTCTTTCTCCTCCTGGGCTTCTCCATGTCCGTGTTCTTGAAACCAGGTGTTGGTGACTACCTGATCATTCACTGTGAACCCATCTTTCACCATATTTATTACGAATTCCTAGACCAAATTTGTCAACTATTTCATCATCTCTCAGCTTCCCTACTCAGGCATTCAGGTCTCCTATATCTTGTGATTTCCATTCAGCCTTGGCGTTGTTTATCATAGAGTAAAACTTTTCAATTACTTTTTCTATACCTTGTAACTGATGGATATGCTGAACGACTTTCCTTTCAGTTTAACAATAAGAATTATTTCTGATAATTGACATTATCCCAGAATACATTTCTTTATGTCTGGGTCTACAATAGCTGAAACATTGTGAATATAGCAATAAAGAAGAGGACAACAGTCTGAATGATGTAAATAGTGTAAATATTTTAAAATGTGTAGAAAATATTTTCCCCCAAACTGTCAAGATAACAATTCTTGTCTATGATACTGACAGCATTTACTTCTTTATGATGACTAAGACAATCAAAAGTACTACAACAAAAACTTGATTTTTGGATAGTTTATCCACAATTTTGTTCCAAATATGCAATAATTTATTTGAAAATTGAAAAATACAATAATTTAAACCAATATTATCTTTGGCCTTTAATCAAATGTGTGTATCAGACTCACACATTATTAATTACTCATAACTTAGCTTAGGTACAAGGCCCAAAATATAGCATATCCAGTCAGATACAAACACACTAATATCTCTAAGACTAACTTACTGACCATTACAATGGATTCATATACAGGGTGTATCAAAAATACTTTTACAAACTTTGGGGGTGGATTTCTGACTCCAAAACAAGGTAAAATTTCCATAAAAATATATGTTCAAAATGTCATCATTGTACCTCAACACAGCAACTCATAACAAATGTTCAAAATGTCCTCCACTTGCTTCTACACACACACATGCACTTGTCAAGTCATTGACTGTTGGACCCTTTCAAATACTCCCACACAGACCCCTATGACATGCTGATGAAGTGTCTCTGTATTATTAATGTCTGCTGCATAAACCAGTTGTATTAGGTGGTGCCACAGATAAAAATCCAAAGGACTGTGGATAGGGAACATGCAAGCCATGGAACCGGCCCTATCATGCATGAACCACATGCGTCTTTATGCAGGAGTACATCATCTAGCAGCTCTGGAAGTGTGTTTGAAATAAAAGTTCTTAAAGACAGCTCCTGTAAGATGTGCTGGGAGAACATATGGACCAACCAGACAGTCACCTACAATTCCAGCCCATACATTATTCATAAACTGATCCTGGTATCTAGCTTGTATTGTAACAAGGGGATTCTGATCTGCTCACAAATGTTGGTTATGTAAATTTGTTATTCTATCTCTTCTAAATGTTCCCTTATCTGTAAACCAGACTGGAGAGACAAGCAATCAGCAGCTTGTGCAATAAACCATTGGCAAAAGTTCTCCCGTGGTGTGTGTTCAGAGAACAAAAGACCCCACACATGTTGCAAATGATAGGGATACAGAGGCTGTTCTTGAAGTACCCTCCATGTGGTACTATGAGATGTATGACATGCTAGGGCCACTTGATGTGTGTTGATACCCAGATTGTCTCTGACAGCCTGTAGAATGTGTTCTTCATTGTCAGGCTTATGAGCAGATCTCAGTTTTCCATGATCCATTGTTTGTGGTGCCACAGATCCTGTCTCAGCAATGCGATGATAAACAGCAGCAAAGGTTGGATGACTCGGCTGCCTTCAGTCTGGAAACCCAATCTGATACAGCCGTGCAGACTCACATCCATTACCCTTCATGCAACTGTATGTAAAAGTCATATCTGCCTGCTCTTGATATGAATATCCTGCCATTGTTAAATGAAACACTTCTTAGTTAGCACATTACTACACATGTTAAACATAGAAGACAGACTAGCCACAAATGACAAATGTAACCTAGTCTACATGGCAACACAATGCCATCTACTGTAAACTTTCTTTAAACTTAATAACTCAAAAATGAAGGATTTACGAACATGTTCATATTTTGGTGTAAGGAACCCATCCCCAAAGTTTTTAAAAGTATTTTTGTTACATCCTGTATATAACCACACACACATACACACACACATACACAAAGTGCTATCCAAAGTTTGGTGGAAACGTTTTCCTCAAAAAAAGCAAAATATTAAAATTGAATTTTTTTTTATTTTCTGGTAGAGTAACTTTTAAAATTTTTCAAAGTTCTGGCAAGACTTGGGAAATACAGAAACTTGGAAAGATTAAAAAAATTAATCTGTTCAAGAGTAGAATCTCACTTCTCTCATATACATATAATCTCCAGACATAATCATCACAAGCAGTAACACTCCTATTTATAGAGTGTTAATTTACGTTTGTGATGATAAAAATACCTTCATGCTTTTTAAGTTAGAATAAAATCTCCATAAAAGAAAAGCAAAATTTTGACAAACCTTTGCTGCCAGTTCCAGTCCAACAATGTCAGCTTCCCTTTCAAGCTTACGACTGTATGGACTATCCAACAAGATCTAAAGATTTTAAGAGAAAAGGTCATATATATTAACATGAAATCAACATACACTTATACAAATAATAAAGGGTAATATGTGACGTAATCATGTGACAAGCAAACTATGAGATTGTTTTCCCAAGTTTCTGCATATAATTTGAGGTAATTGAAACTAAACAGAGAACATAATTTTATGCCTATTTTAAAATGTTTACTCACCTGAACCACCTTTTCATAAAATACCTGTGTAACAAGTGCAATTCCATCAAAAGGCATAAAAGCCCAAATTGCAGCCATCACAATGATTACAAAGTAATCAATCATTTGGGCAAAACTCACTTTCTCTGCCTAATAAAAAAGAAATAAAAATAATAATGTAGTATGTTGTAAAAGAAGAAATATGTATTAAAGCAGATTTTCTCATGAGATTTTTTGTAGCTAATGAATTCCCTACATACAAGCTACTAGTGGCCCACTGGTGGGCTGCTGATGGCAACACCAGCATTCCTCTGGTGGTAGCCACTGACAGGTCACTGTTGGGCCACCATTGACCCTCTAGCAGTCTGCCAGTGGTTCCATTGCTGAGATGATCCCGCAGGTGGCCTGACAGTGGGCTACGTGGTAAACGCTAGTGGCATGCCACCTAGTGGCAGATTGGTAACTTGTGTGTAGGGTTGTTGTCAATATAATCAAAGAAAATCCCCTAAATGACGCAAGAAATTTAGGAAGCTTTGAATGAGTTTCATGGAGAAATTAACACAGACATGTTCACTGTGTGGCAATTTAAAATGTTACTTAAAAAAAAAAAAAACTTAGCAAAGATAATCCTTATAATCACATTGCAATTAACCAGTTAATGTTTATCGTTTCAGTAACCTTTTAGAGCAATTTTCATACCAAAAGACAGAAAAAAATGGAACTATATTTTGCAAAAGATAGCAAATGCCACCTTTATTCATCTTTCTACAAGGATGAACTGAAATATATTTTTCTTTTGCAGTAATAGATTCATTTGGTCAAGGTGGTTGGATTTTTAACATTTCTGTTCCTGGTATCATGAGAGAAAGGAAGAGAACTGGTTTGTGTCTGTGTATTTCTTCTGGTTTAGTCACAAGAAACAAAGTTCCAGTTCTTTCCAGCTGGTTACAAATACCAACTGCTTTTATGAATTTCCTTGAGAAAAATTTCCTAAAAATAGTTTTGGGTAGTTGGTAGTTTAAGAAAACAATTTTATCCACTGAACTTTTTTCTCTGGAAGCAATTGCCTGTCAAAGCTCATCCCTGGCCCATGCAGTGGATAGGTACATAGATTTCCTCAAGTTTGAGTTCAATCTACTGAGAATCCTTACTCCAATTTCACTTATTGAACCTAATTAACCATTTTAATATTTTCTTTTCTATTTCATTACATTATAAGAGAAGTGAAATCCTTTTTCTCTCTACTTCTCAGCTATATGATACCAAACCTGGCCAATAATACTTAACTATGAATAACCAACTGCTTTGAAGTCTCTTGAGGAATCTATCTACCCTTTATAAGTGGGGATACCATTTATCCTTTCACAGTGTATTTGCCATGATTTAACATGGAAATTTGAGAGGTATTAACCTAGGACTGTACAAAGTTAGATCATTCAGCTTCTTGAGATATTGTATGTAGAGTAAATGAAAATGTTAATGCATTTAAAAAGCAGCAAACAGACCATAAAACATTTGTAAATATAATTTTAAAAATTTCTTAAAATGAATAACGAACAAACATTTTAAAATCTGAACACAATATGTACTGATAAATTCAATCACTTACAGCATGTCCTAATAAACTATGGGCTATTTCATGGGCTAGCACAAAAGCAAGTTGATCATCATTTTGGACAAAATTTAGGAGGCCAACATTCACAAAGACATGTCCACTCTAAAAAATAAACAAAAAAGTCCTTTGAATAAACATTGGCTGAAATATATGAAAAGATTGCATATTATGTGACAACTTGTTCAAGTTTCATTATTTAATTCATGAGGCTACCCAAAAGTTTGAGGAATTTCAACAGAATGCATCAACTGAATGTAGTACTGAATTTTGCTGTAACCCTTTATGAGACTGTTGTATACATACACAAGGGAATCACTCAAGTCAATTTAATGACCAAATTCACCAAAACTTTTGTGCTACACCATGTACAGTGTAAGCCGGATATAAGAGACCCGGATATAAGAGAGATTTTCTCTGGTCCCAAATTAGAGCCCATACTTACCTAAACAAAATAGACCAAACCAGGATATAAGAGAAACCCGGATATAAGAGACTTTTTCTCCGGTCCCGACAACTCTTATATCCGGGTTACACTGTATATATATTCAACAGTGTCTTCTAAAAAAGTGACTGCAGCAACTGATTCAGAGTGGGTAAATTTTATGATTTCAAAGTGATTCTTTTGAAATATTTACAATTTTCTGCTTTTATTTCTCGGTTTATATATTTTTGTAGCATGAGATTTTCTAAATGACACATTATTACACTAAGCAAAAATAAGAACTATCTTGAATATGAAAGAATTTTCCAGGCTCAAGTTACTTAAAATTATCTGTAAAATTTCAAAATATTTGTTTAAATTATCGATGCCTGAAAATATTTGAAACATTTACTGAATTATTATTTTTATTAGAGTTTACATTTATTACAATTCTTACAGAGACATGAACAATGAAAACATTTTTGCAGACTTACTTTAAAGCTTTTCTCCTGGTAAGAATATTCATTAATAAAAATATATAAATCTTAGATAGTAATTGAACTTGCTTGAGAAAAAAGTTAAAAGAAGGAAACCTTTAGGCATGACTCACAGCCAAAACATAAGCATTGATGTCAAAAGAATCCAGAATAGCTACTTTCCACTTTTGAGTTTTCATGTTGGATAAGGCCCAATTCTTATGGACTAAACATTCCATTATTTGGATAACTCTGATATATGACGGATGAGTGGCAGGCAGAAACAAATTTTCTTTCATGTTCTCTTGCTAAAACAAAGGAAAAAATAAAATAAATGAATGTGTATATTTCCTGGCATATTGATACCTACAAAGTTAAACTTCAATTTCTTTTGCATTAACAAAATTATTAATTTTACAATAGGCCACCTGAAAGCTGTATTTATCATAGTTGCATTGTGTGACCAATAGACAATTCAGAAACTACAGAAGAAAAGTAAACATAAAGGAGAATGTCTATAACCAAAATAAAATTAACCAAGTGTCACTACATAAAGATAGTAAAATAGATGTCTAAACATTGTAATTCTTGCTTCATAATTGTAATTTGATAAGTTCTTGATTATAATAAAGAGGAAACAAAAGAGACCACTCTGCCATTTTGTGCCATACCAAATGAAACATACTGGTTATGCATTAAATGAATTCATCTGTGTATAAAAGCGTCATTTTGGTAATGGTAATGTTAATTTGGTGATATAGTGATTATGAGTTCAATCCTGAGGTCAGCAGTGTGTACTTGCACTCAATGGAAATGGGTGAGCAATAACTGAACAGTGCTAAATAAAATAAGAATTAGATGATATCCTTAGACACGAGAACAGTCTATTCCCGTAGAGTAAATAAAGGGTTGAATTTGGAATTCCCTGTAGGTTACTCAGATTGATATACACCTGAGGAAGGCCAAAGGGCAGAATGATTGAAATGTTGTGATAAAAACAAAGATGAGGATAATAGTCCAAATAAAAATATCTGATATCTGTAGTATAAGCTGACTAAAAACATAGGCTAGTTGCTGTATAACTGACACTGGAGCCGAAACTGATTCACCAGATTTAGACTGGGATGTGCGAGAAAACGGGGGAAAAAAAACAACTTCTTGCGACACGAAAACAAACGCCTACTTGCGACTCTGAATCGAACGCCTACTTGCAACACAAAAACGAACGCCTTCTTGCGACACAAAAACGAATGCGACACAAAAACGAACGCCTACTTTCGACACAACACTCTACGACAGCAAACGAGCAAAACGGCACCCAAGACTGCTCCCGACAGACGACCGCCCGCAACAGCTTTTGTTGCCCATGAAAAGATGCCAAATGACTCGCGCGTCTTCTTCTTGTCGGCCTCAGTCGAGTCCATTATGGTACTCAAAGGTGTGCCCAGCAACAACACACACACGCAGTTTGAAGACGTTTCTGCGCATGCTCATTACATGACATAACTGTAAATGATAATGCTTATGATGAGCTCTTTGCATCAATGGTTATGATCATAGTAATTTTGAAGGGTTTTAATTATGTATGTGTGTGTTGTATGTTTTTTTTTCTTCTACAATGAGAAATAAAGATTTTATGGCATCTTAAATGTCTTGTTGCTTAACACTGAAGAAAAATAATGTATGTTATATGTTTTATATAAATAAAGCACTTTATTTATATAGAACATATAACATACATTTTGTTTTGGTTTTAAGCAACAAAACATTTATCTAGATTTTTGATCTTGTCTTATCTATAGGTCATCTTATATATGGAAATATACCATAAATTCAGAAGTCTAAAGTAGATATGTAAAGTGTGAAAGAATTACATGAAGATTCATCCAAGTATTTCCTGAATTAAGTTCCTCATACATACCCCCACATCTGGTGTCCTGATTCAGATATCAAATTTTGTGTCACATGCCAGGACATTTTAAAAATGCCTAAGGAATAGGAATGCCCAGGATTGCTATGGTTTCATGAGGTGTAATTTCCATCTTCTTTAGTGATGGAATGAATGTTATGCTGTACATTTGCTGCACATTGATTTCAACATGTGATTGTGTCTGATAATGCCAGCAGTTTCACTAGTAGGGAATTCTCCAAAGTCTGTGCCTTTGGTAGATTAAACATGTTCAATCTTTGACATATCATCCATCATCAAATAAACACACAGTCCAAACCATTAAAAGGAAACTAAAAAAAAATTCATGTAATCTTGAAACTCATCACTTAAATCCATAAGTAATCCAAAGTAGTCACTGGCAATGTTGTCAATAGGTTGACAGCCTAGAACATACTTTAATCTAATGTACCCTGATTTATCAGCCTGAATCACCATTAAAGTCGATAATATGTCTGTAAATATAAGGCACTATGAAAGAATGTCTCATGTTGGAGAAGCAATAAATTTTCAAGGAAAACCAAATGAATGTCTGGGATTCTGAAAGAACATTTAAGTACATTGATGCTTTGAGTTTGGCTAGAGGACAATCATGTATGGGAAAGACCTGTGGATCATATTCACATAAATATGCTAACAGAACTCACTGTTAATAAGCCATTGGACATCTCCACTTACATTATAAGACCCAGTATAATAGATTTTTCAGGTTCAGTCCTTAGCTGAAACTAATGCTGAACCTATTGAAGAGACTAAATACTCAAAAGAAAGGGTGTGGAGACTTAATTCACCTTTTAAATAGTAGAGAAACCTGATGATTCATCTGCACTTATTGCAAATTTAATGCATAAGAAATTGTGGAAACTGGCTGGCCAAAACATGCAATAAAAAGACCTCAGTACTTGTGTGACTATATCTAAGTGCTATAATAAACAGGAAATGGAACAGACCACTCTTCCCTTTTGTATAGTACCAAACAGAATGTCTGTATTAAGTGAATTCAACTGAAAGTAAAAATGTAGGAATCTTAAAAAGAATATAGCACTATGGAAGATGATGGTTCTTTTAAGATTAACAATGATGTATAAAGATTAGCAAATAAGTAACTGATAAAGTTATTTACTTGGTCAAGTATCCAATCTTGTCTGGTATAATCATATTTTTGCTTAGGTATCCTCTGCCCTTTTTCAGATGTTTGTCAAAAATGTCAAATATCCAGGACATCGTTGAAGTTCATAGAACACATTCTCAGCATTGATAACCCAATCCAGATAAACTGTAGCATATGCATCAAGAACCATATCAGAAAAAGAAATATGTGATGCACAAATTTGGAAAGAATCTTCAGGTATAATCTAGGTATGTGAACAATTCTCAGAGTATGTCATAGGATTGGAATTCACAATTGCGATGAACCATAAACCACTTGTATCATGACTAGACAGTAAAGATATTAGTAATCTACCAGCCAGAATACAATATTTTGGGTATACCTGAAGATCCAAGTCCATACTACCTGCCGTGGGTGCTCATTTCAATATTTATTGACAAGATCAACCCTGTTGATAAAGTCCCAAAATGACTTAACATCCGATCAGTTAGTACCCGGTCTTTCCCCTATGTGATCTATACTGGGATCAAGGATGGCATTCCAATCACCCGCTAGAATTACTGAACATGATGTCATCAGAAATGGCTTGATCTGCTGAAACAAACCAGACTGCTCCAAATAAACCCCATTAAGAGCCTTAATCCTTTATGGTATTATCCATCACGCAAAGCCTGCTTACTAGAACCATGAAGGCAAGAGAACACACTGCATCCACAGACTTGCTTACCAGCCTGGAAACACCTCCCAAGAATCCATCAAAACATACTGAATAGAGGATAAACCCTGACACAAGGCTATGCTCTGGCTGCTGCCACTGCTGATAGGAACAGTCCATTAAGTTAGGGAGGGAAGGGGATAAATGGTTATACCAGATACAATAAACAATAGTTAACAATCTAATTCCTTTTCTTATTTAAAAGAAAACATTATTCACTCTAAGACAGCAATTTGGTCATTAGACTTCACTCATGTTATTGAACATATTTCTCCCTTATCTAACATCGTCATTTTCATTGTATTTACTCACCTAGATGACACATATTTTTGTCGTTTATCCTCAACTTCTAAATAAATTTTCAGTTCTTTCCATTTTCTCAGTTCATCTCTCTTTGCTTCTGAAAAATCAAGATGTGTTGACGTCTAACTCTTCTATTTGTATTTCTATTTGTTTGATCTTCAGATTCTTCACAGTCGATAAATCAATAGACATCCTTGTTCCTTTTATGTCATTAGGTTTTATATATTCAATATTGTACCAGTTCTTTGTCTTGGTAGATGCTTTACTGGCCCATCCAAGAATTTTAGCTTCACATTTTTTTTTCCATTTTGTACAAGTTGGAGCTGAATTATTTGATCTTTCTGAACTTTAATAACATTGGGGTTCACTTGTCTAACAGATGTACGTAAACCTAAGTGCATCCATATTTTACTATCAAAATTACATTGTCTTTTCCTATAAAGCAACCTGACCCTTTCCATTCACCATCTTGTAAACCTGTGAGATGCTGATCTATGCTTCTTTATGTTAGCAGTAGCTCCAAAATTTTCATCTTTTGTTTCACTGTGTTGATATGCATCTCCAGGAAAGTTGTCATTGTTCTAAGTACCATTTCCTGCAACACCTGTATTTTCCTTGTCTTCATCTTCACTGTCATCATTTTCTATATTATCATCAGTTGTTTTATTATTATGACTAGCTTTTGATTCTAAAGCTCTCAAGAGTCTACTTTCATGCACGTGCCTCCATATGTTTCTATCAAAATTACATTGTCTTTTCCTATAACCCAACCTGGTCCTTTCCATTCACCATCTCAAGAGCATCTTTCCACCTTGTTTAAAGTCTTTTCCCTTAGGTCTTATTTGTTTTCTCAATGTTCTTTAGATTCTTTCTGATGATTCTGCCACCAAATATGCTTTTCATGCTTCTTGTAAACCTGTGATGCCTTTTCATCATTTCACCAATAGTTTTATCTTCCAGAGCAGGGGATTTGTTGATAATATTAGATGGTAAATTTGGATTCCTGCCATACAATATCTAAACTAAACTAAATCCATGTACATTTACCAAGCAGTTCTTTGCATTCACAGTTCAACTTTTAGTCATTTCTCATGAAATAACATTTTCTTCTTTAACCTTCTTAATGATTTCTGTCAAGATCGCATTATGGTGCTCAACAATATCATTTGACCATGAAGAATAAGCTTCAGTTGTTTTGAGTGAGAGATTCAACTTTTCAGTCATTTCTTGA